CAGGCTTGCTCCACCCGCTGGCTTTTATACAAGTTATTGGCAATTTTTAGACATTTTGCCAAGGCACCCCTGAAGAAACCTCAAGGAACCCCAGGGTGCCTGGGCACCATGGTTGAGAAAGGCTGTCTTAGAATAACAGGGAGCTGAAACCTCCATCAATCAAGATGCAAAACCTCACCCCTCCTATTGTGTTTAGCAGTTAATGAGCATGGAGGAGGGCTGTCATTTACCACTGTGTACTTTTCTTACACTGTGCCTCTATACTCACATGGGCTGCTCATATGTGATAGGGAGGAAATGCTCAGGATAGCAATACACCGAAAACTGAGCATGTGCACTAACTGCCAACACTGCTCTGCAAAATCCCCAACTGCAGTGGGGACATGGACAAGAGGGTGAGACAGAGAACAGCAGGATCAACCAGGTGTTTTGCAGAGTACAAAAAAACAAATCTCATAGTGAATGAGTGAGTATGAACAACATGTAATACAGCATTTATTGATAGTTTTTATGATGTGGGTTTAACCTCCCTGGCGGTATTCCCGAGTGTAGCTCGGGGTAAAATTTCAGTACCAAGAGTGGTAACCCCGAGCTACACTCGGGCTTACCCTGCGGCGCTGCTCAGGGAGTCCCTGCAGCACTTACCTTGTCCTTCGCTCCCGCGATGTGTCCCCTGCAGCGTCCCTGGCCATCTCCTCCGGCCGATGCCGGCATCCGGCTCCCGTGTTCCGGTCCCTGTGACGTCGGGACGTACGGGCGCCAGAACCGGCGGCAAATTTGAAATTTAAAAAAAATTTCATTTTTTTAAAAATTATTATTATATAGTAAAAAACATTGCTGTTTCGATGCATTTCACATACATTTTGTCCCGAGTGCTTTGTCCTGTGCCCTGCCTGCATTTTTACTGTTCTTTCTGCCTGGAAACTGAGAAACATCCATGGCATCCAAAAAGCGTCCCTTTATGTCAAAAGCGGTTTTAGACCGGCTAGAGAACAGCGATAGTAAATCAGAACCACTTTCAGAATTGAGTGATAATGATTCGTGGGGAAATTCGTCATCAGACACTGAAAACGATTTTGCGACTTTGCTCAGCGATGTGCGAATTTGCCTCTGTATTTCAAATTTCAGTGTTTTTGGTTTGATTATATTATTGAATTAAATGTATTATTATTATATTATTATTTTTTTTATGATTATTTATTAAATTATAATTTATGATTTCGTGTTTCAAGTTTTATCATATCCGGAATGTTTACTAGACTCTTGTTCGTACAGATTTCAGTGAGTTATTCCTAAAAATTACAGCCTACAAGAAAAAACTACATATTTCCATGCAAAAAAATGGTACCGCGCTTTCAGCACAAAAAATCGGAAATAATCATACCGCCAGGGAGGTTAATGACACTTTAATTAATATTATTACCTCTGTGCTCATTGGCATCTACGTTGTGGAACCTACTGTATATGGTAAAGTATAAAATGGTAAAGACATGTTTAGTAATGGACTGAACATCATTTTAGGAATAATCTCCCAAAATATGAAATAAATATACTGTAAGGTATAGCACTTTAGCAAGGCTGTATTTGACATGGTAATTTCCTTTGTCCATGCTAAGAAATCTGCCATCAGTCAATCGTTCTGGATATGGTGATTGGTTGCTGGGGCATCTGGAGCTAAATGATTGGAGGCTGGAGGGATTATAATTTGTTCCTTACGGCTGAGTATTTCTTGTGGCTCTAGGGGGTAGGGAAAACAGAGAGGTGTGTTTAGCCTACCTATTGTCTTGGACCTGGTTATGGCTCTCCCTTACACCTCCTGTCCTGTTGTTCCCCCAAGATTGATGACAGGGTGTGACATGCCACTATAGTGGTGTCTGCTGCGGGAGGAAGTCCTGACCAGCTGAAGAACTGGATCTTGTGGTGAGCTAGAGCTGAAGAGCAGGAACTCATATCTTCACAGGGCTTGCACAAGCAGGAGGCAGGAACATGGTCAGACCGACGGAATTTGTCAGCGGAGGTACAGGTTCTGGAGATAAGGGCGTAAACCAGAGCCAGACCAAGGTCAGTATGACATGAGCAGGGAATGAGCCTAAACATAGCAAGATGCAGAAACAAGGTCAGGTACCAAAAGGATCAAAATCAAGCGTGGTCAAAAGACAAAATCAGGCATAGCACAGCAACTAGCATAGTCTGGTCAGGGGTCACAGGAGCTGATGGCCACTCAGCAATGATCTTGAGTCTTGCAGTGCTTTAAATAGGCCACTCGGCACCAAAAGTCCATTCAAAGTGCATGTGCATGCTCCATAGTATAAGCAACCTTTATTCTGTGCACAGGTCTGCAGTAGACATGTGCACGACATTTAGTTACAAATCGAAATCTGGATGAAATTTTTGTTATTCAGAGATTTGGATGTATCCAGATTTCCGAATCACAATAGAATGAATTTCAACAAATCGGAAATTAGAACATTAATTTGAATTCAAATTAAAAAATGTATCCAAATTTGAAATTGTAACATATTACAATAAATACGATAAAGTATAAAAGTGAAATAAGATGGTGATTTTTTTTTCTTAGGCCGCTTCAAGGAATAGAATAGAAATAAGATGCTGATTTTTTTTTTTTTTCGGCTGCTTCATAGATTTGGAAATTAGAAAATTAATTTGAAGTCAAATTAAAAAATAAATCCAAATTTGAAATGGTAAAATATTGCAAAAAATACGATAAAGTATAAAAGTGAAATAAGATGGTGATTTTTTTTCTCAGGCTGCTTTATAGAATAGAATAGAAATAAGATGGTGATTTTTTTTTTTTTTCTTAGGCTACTTTATAGAATCGGAAATTTGAAAATTAATTTGAATTCAAATTATTCTGCTTATCATTCTGCCTTACTTGGATATGCCCATTGTATATGTGTATCACTCACTTGTGCCTTTATAGGGGTTGCATTGATTCCATTACTTGGATTCTATTGGAGCTCAGTCTCTCCCTTTAATAATAATTATTTTTTTACCCACATTGCCTGCCAGGATTATGGGTTAATTCCTTTAATATGGTGACTAATTCAGCCAATTTTGCATAGCGGTACATAGTATATACCTGATGGTACAATTTTTTGACATACCTCCTGCTGGTGGTGTGACCAATGTGTTGGTGCTGCAAATACATTAGACAGGTAATTTGTCATTGTCTATGCAACACATCTATATTAAGACCGGTCTTGATGTGGTTTTTATGTGGTTTTAGGTCTGAGTGTACTATCTCATACTGAGGTGATGGTGAACCGGGGTAATTACCCTATTGTCTAAATATCTTTGTTCAATAAAGTCAATTTTTGGAAATTATTCTGAGTATCGTAATTCTGTCCAAAATGTAGCCACTGTTCTGTGAATGTCTTTTTCACAACCCTTTTTTCTTTGTATGCATCTCATGGGGCCCCCTACTGACCCTGGGCCCTCGGGCAGTGCCCGAGTTTCCAAATGGTCAGTCCGCCCCTGTCCAGGGAATATCCGATTGCCTCTCGGGGGATCAGGAAGGAATTTTTTTCCTGCTTAGCTTCTTTTTTTTTTTGCCTTCCTCTGGATCAACTGTGGGTGTAGGATTATAACTTTTTTTTTTTTAAGGGTTGAACTGGATGGACTTTTGTCTTTTTTCAGCCAGACTAACTATGTAACTATGCATAAAAAAAAATGCACTGGAACGCGCCAAAAACGCGCATGCAAAAACACATCTGGAACGCATCTGGACTGCATTTCTATAGTGTGAACCAGCCCTAAAGATTTTGTTTCTTATTGGGCCCAGAACTGGGTTTTGAGGTTGGGGTAGAAGAGGGTAGCACAGTGGCTAAATGGTTAGCACTTCTGCCTGGCAGTACTAGGGTCGTTGGTTCAAATCCCAGCCACAGCACCTTCTGCCTGGAGCTTGCATGTTCTCCCTGTGCCTGCGTGGGTTTCCCCTAGGTACTCTGGTTTCCTCCCACACTCCCAAGACATGCTGGTAGGTTAATTGGCTCCTGTCTAAATCAGCCCTGGTATATGAATGTGAGTTAGGGACCTTAGATCATACACCCCTTGAGGGTCAGTGACTGATGTGAATGTACAATATATATATGTAAAGTGCTGCGTAAATTGACAGCGATATATAAGTACCTGAAATAAATAATAATAAATAACCCCTTCATGGACTAGAAGAAGGGTGGGGGTTTGATGGGTGCAGCCTGTCACCTCATGGGGGGATGTTGGGGATGAAGCCTGTCACCTTGGGGGGAAAGTGGGTGTTGAGGTTGAAGCTTTTCACCTTGTTGGGATGGGGTTGTAAAGCGCTGCGTAAATTGACAGTGCTATATAAGTACTTGAAATAAATTTAAAAAGTAAATAAATATCAGGGTGACACCGTGTGCTAGGAATGGGTGATGTTTGGGGGAACAGTTTGTCATTTAGTGCCATAAGCCCTGCACCAAAAATAACATATTGAGTTGTTTTCCTGTTTTCTTCATTCAGACATCCTTCGTTGTTTCCCCCGTTCTTTAAAAACAATTAACTAGACAATTTGACTGAAGATGTGTGACTTTAATCATAGGGCTATTAACCTTAACAATGTCAATGTATTCTCACTATCACATTCAGCTAGATGATGGCCCAAGGTAATAGTTAGAGGAACATTTTACAATGAGAGACATGTTAATGGTTTATTTAGCTGTAAATGCGGTGTGAAAGATTTAGGTGGAAAGCAGCGCACAGTGTAATGCGTGAAAAAAAAAAAAGAAGGCAATGGACAGCTTCAAAAAAAAGAAAATCTCTAATTGGATCAGGAGACGTACTAATTATCCAGATACCATCACATCAAATTACTGTATAGTGAAATTGGTAACAGCATCACTGAGCCAGAGGCAAACAAGTATTGTGATTGCAGAGAATGACATCTCACAGCCTCTCTGTGTATTCAATGGAAGTTTCTAGAAAACAACGTGGCACCCATAGCAGGGGCGGACTGACAACTCATGGGGCCCCTGGGCAATAGGGGATCATGGGGCCCCTGTGTCCTTGCCCAAACTCAAAAAAAGCCTATGAAAATGGTACCAGGGGCATTTCATGGGGCCCCCTACTGACCCCAGGCCCTCGGGCGGTGCCCGAGTTTCCAAATGGTCAGTCCGCCCCTGGGTACTGTGTACTTCTTTTCACGCTGCAAGATTACATTCACCTGTGACAACTAGTGGTTGAGCTTCTGCTAGGGTAGGAGAAATGAACCTCACGGATTTTTGGGCAGTGCCTCTATTGCAATCAGAAGATGTACCGGTGACAATGGCACTCTCAACCAAACCCTGTGCAGATATTTTTCAATAGACATGTGCGTTTCGTACCAGGGGCATCTCATGGGGCCCCCTACTGACCCCGGGCCTTCGGGCAGTGCCCGAGTTTCCAAATGGTCAGTCCGCCCCTGACCCATAGCTATTCACACTGTTATAGGGTGCATTGTAAAAGTGAACATTTGATTACAACTTGTAAAGTGTAAGACAGAAAAGAAAGAAATAATAAATAAATAGAAGAAAAATAAATATTAAAAAAAATTACTTCTCTGCAATGCATGCATATTTTGCCATGTTTTAGTCCCTGTTCACACCCAGGGGCGGACTGACAACTCATGGGGCCCCCGGGCAATAGGGGATCATGGGGCCCCTGTGTTCTCACCCACACTCAAACCACACCCAAAAAAAGCCTATGAAAGGTACTAGGGGCATCTCATGGGGCCCCCTACTGACCCCGGGCCCTCGGGCACTGCCCGAGTTCCTAAATGGGCAGTCCGCCCCTGTTCTCACCTGCATTGCGGTTCAGCTGCTGCCTGACAATGCACAACAAATCGTATTATACGGGGTTAACACTTATGTCTGCTTCTGTGCAACTTGGCAAAGGGTGCTTGTGAAGTTCCTAAAGGTGGGAATACACAATTATAAAATCAACCGATCGGTCATCCGATGACAGAGAGATGTTCGTTCGTTGGTCGAAATCGTGGCCCACATTAACCAATCTAAAAAAAATTGTTCGTCGGGCAATACGTAGTGTTGACGTCAAGTGGAAGTGATGCGGTGTGCATGTGACCTTGTAGCCACGCCCTTCCGGCCAGAACGAGCGATATACACAACAATGACCAGCAATGAGTATAATATCGTTTATTACATGACCTATATACATAAATAGTGACACATAAAAATATAATATGCAGAATTCTGGTTTCATTATCTCATTAGGCCAATCTACTTTTAACATTTGTACTTTTTCGTTCGAAGATTCTTTGGACATAAACATCCGGGTTATCTTCTGTTTCCGCTCATGCGTGATAGCGCTTGATAGATTTTTTTCGTACGACCGTCATACCACCGCATAGAAAATCGGTCGTTCGTATGTGAAATGATGACATTTTTCACTGTTGTTCAACCGGATTTTTTCGTTCACAATATCGTTATCGGTTAAAACATCCTGCTCATCAACGAAGAGAAAATTGTTCGATCAGTGGTTCTGCAAAACTTTTCAGATGATTTTTTTATTGTGTGTATGGGGCATTACTTACCCATGCTTGCTTGATGGCATCATCCACCAGTTCACTACAAATGGGGTCCTCAACCCCTAGACCATGGACCGGTGCCAGTCCATGGACTACTGGGGACTGGGCCTTACAGCAGGGATTTGGCAAGGCAGCACAACCTAAACTTCCAAGCATCCAACCACCAGAGGGCACCTGCCCCCCTTCTCACAGGACTACTCTCTTTCCTCTCTGTGGTCACAAAGAAGGAGAAAGGGAGGGAGTAGAGCCCGGGCCAGGGATAGGATCTCATAGAGCACTGGTGAGATCCAGGCTGCAACCCCATCCCAATGAGGTGAAAAGCTCTACCCTCAACACCCCCTCTCCCCCCAAGGTGACAGGCTGCATCCCCAACATCCCCCCATGAGGTGACAGGCTGCACCCATCAAACCCCCACCCTTCTTCTAGTCCATGAAGGGTGTATTTATTATTATTTATTTCAGGTACTTATATAGAACCATCAATTTACGCAGCACTTTACTTATGTATTGTACATTCACATCATCCCTAACCCTCAAGGGGTGTACAATCTAAGGTCCCTAACTCACATTCATACATACACATAGTAGGGTCAAGTTAGTCAGGATCCAATTAACCTACCAGCATGTCTTTGGAGTGTGGGAGGAAACCAGAGTAGCTGAAGGAAACCCACACAGGCACAGGGAGAACATGAAAACTCCAGGCAGGTGGTACCCTGGTTGGGATTTGAACCAACGACCCGAGTACTGCCAGGCGGAAGTGCTAACAATTTAGTCACTGTGTTGCTACCACATGGCCAGTTCCTGTTGCCGGGGTGTTTGGGGATCACTGCACTACAACACTCTATGTTCTAGAACACTTATCATGTATCCATCACTGCTGCATTGGATTCCATTATGTATGTATTAATGTCTTGGTGGTGGCATCTAGTGTCAATTTTGTGTAGATGCAACTTGTAATTTAAATGGTATATTCCAGTTTACCTGTGTCTTGAGGGAGGTTGGTTTAGATCTTAGGTCAGTCAACTTCTTAGATATTGGGAGTCTCAAGTGTGGCTGCTGATATCACCATGGGCCACATATGATAATCAGTGAATATTCAGTGTTAGGGACAATAGACACACAACAAGATATCGTAAAAAGCTATGAGCAAGAGTAGATGGTTTCTAGGCCTGTTCAAAGAGATGAGTCAAAGATTGCAGACATGCTACAGGAAATGGTCAGAGACTATGAGTATGCTACAAGATATTTTTACAGATTGTACACATGATATAGGAGTTGTTGGAGCCTAGGGGCCCCGAGGGCTGCAAAAAAAGTGCCAAAGATCCATCTGCAGCCCCGGGCCCCAGGGCCTTAGATAGACCACCACCTTTACCAGCCGTCACAGTGAGCACAAAGCTTAGAAGACTATTGTCCCTTTACATGCCCAAATGGCTGGTGATCATCCCATGTACTGGATCTCCCCCCCCTCTTCCTAACCAGGCTATTGTTTGCTATACGGCGCTGCATTACTTTAACTGACAATTGCGCGGTCATGCAACGCTGCACCCAAATGAAATTTATGTCCTTTTTTCCCACAATTACAGCTTTCTTTCAGTGGTATTTGATTGCCTGTGTGTTCTTTATTTTTTGCGCTATAAACAAAAAAAAATTGACAATTTTGAGAAAAAAACTATATTTTTGACTTTATGCTATTAAACATGTCTAGTATAAAAATTTAAAAAATCTAATTTCATCATAAAATTAGGCCAAAATGTATTCTGCTACATGTCTTTGCTAACAAAAATCCCAATACGTGTAAATTAATTGGTTTACGTGAAAGTTATAGCGTTTACAAATGGCGGTATATATACTAAATTTTTCATGTTTTTAGTAATTGCAATGATCAGCGACTTAAAGCAGGACTGCGGTGGACATTCTGACTCTGAGGGGAACTGACTAACTGCTACTGTCATCCCCAGTGTCACCAATACAGTGATCAGTGCTAATAAAAATCACTGACACTTCTAATGACACTGGCAGGAAGGAGTTAATATCTTGGGCAATCAAAGGGTTAACTGTGTGCTGTTTTGCTATGTGTGCTGTGTGTGTACTTCACTGTAAGCACACTGCTTTGTATGGCTCTGCTATGCATACATACAAAGAAGTGTGCAGGCGCTGACAGGGGAGAGATCTGTATTGTTTATATACAGTTCTCTTCCTCGTTGGCGATACTCGGAGATCACCGAGTGCCGGTGAGGATTCCCACGGCTGGGACCTGGTGATTGACAGCCGAGGCCGCGAATGGCAGCGCAGGTAGGGTACAAACGGGCCCCTACCCGGTACTGCAAAATCACGTACAGTTGTGTTCAAAATAATAGCAGTGTGTTGAATAAAGTGAATAAAGCTCAAAATCCTTCTAATAGCTTTTATTTCCATACACACAAATGCATTGGGAACACGACACATTCTATTCCAAATCAAAACATGAAGAAAAATACATCAAATTTGTGTTGTTCCTCTAAAAATATTGAAGAAAAGTGAATATTAGACTGTTAAAAAAAATAGCAGTGTTTGTATTCTTCTTTACAAACTCAAACATTCACTATATAAACTGAGAAATGTTTGAAGATTTTGCTTTCCTTTGAATCACTTAATGAATATTTGGTTGTAGTCGCACTGTTTCTGAGAACTGCTGTACATCTGTGTTGTATGGAGTCACCCAACTTCTGGCACCTGTGATCAGGTATTCCAGCCCAGGATGATTGGACTACATTCCACAGTTCTTCTCTATTTCTTGGTTTTGCCCCAGAAACTGCATTTTTGATGTCACCCCCCACAAGTTTTCTATTGGATTAAGATCCGGGGATTGGGCTGGCCACTCCATAACGTCAATCTTGTTGGTCTGGAACCAAGATGTTGCACGTTTACTGGTGTGTTTGGGGTCGTTTGTCTTGTTGGAACACCCATTTCAAGGGCATTTCCTCTTCAGCATAAGGCAGTGTGACCTCTTCAAGTATTCTGATGTATTCAAACTGATCCATGATCCCTGGTATGCGATAAATAGGCCCAACACACCGTAGTATGAGAAACATCCCCATATCATGATGCTTGCACCACCATGCTTCACTGTCTTCACAGTGTACTGTGGCTTGAATTCAGTGTTTGGGGGTCGTCTGACAAACTGTCTCCGGCCACTAGACCCAAATAGAACAATCTTACTTTCATCAGTCCACAAAATGTTGCGCCATTTCTCTTTAGGCCAGTCAATGTGCTCTTTAACAAATTGTAACCTCTTCAGCACATGTATTTTTTTCAACAGTGGGACTTTGCGGGGGCTTCTTGCAGATAGCTTGGCTTCACATAGGCGTCTTCTAATTGTAACAGCCCTCACAAAGAACTTTACACCTTCTTTCATCTTCCTGGAGCTGATTGTTGGCTGAGTCCTTGCCATTTTGGCTATTCTGCTATCCATTCGAATGGTAGTTTTTTGCTTTCTTCCACGTCTTTCAGGTTTTGGTTGCCATTTTAAAGCATTTGTGATCATTTTAGCTGAGCAGCCTATCATTTTCTGCACTTCTTTATATGTTTTCCCCTCTCCAATCAACTTTTTAATCAAGGTACACTGTTCTTCTGAACAGTGTCTGGAATGACCCATTTTCCTCAGAATTTCAGAGAGAAAATGCACTGTAACCAGCATGTATAACATTTGCTGCCTTCCTTCCTAAATAAGGGCAATAATTGCCACCTGTTTTTCAAAGAATGAATGACCTCACTAATAGAACTCCACACTGCTATTATTTTGAACATGCCCCTTTCAATTAGTGATTCAATGGACACAGAATCAGCAGCATGCATGTCATGACTGTTGGGTCTGTTGGATTTCTATTACTGTTCTACACCTGCTAGTAAATTATTTGCCATGTAGAAATATCATTTCTACCAAAAACAGTGATTGATCCGGTTAGTGATGTCTGACTGCTATTATTTTGAACACAACTGTATATATACACGTGATTTTGTGCACCCGTGCCGCCCTGTAGCAGTATTTCTCCAACCTATCCTTCCAGCCCCAAGTCCAATCTTTAACAAACTTGTGCAGACTCCACCTCCGCAACATCGCCAAAATCCGCACGTTCCTAACCCCAGAAACCACTAAACAGCTCATCAACTCCCTCATCATATCACGACTCGACTACTGCAATTCCCTCCTCACTGGCCTGCCTCGCCGCTTCAGTCCATCCTGAATACGGCTGCCAGACTCATTCACCTTTCCAACCGCTCCATCTCTCCGCCAC